TGTATTTCTACCAAATACAGTAACAATACACCATTGTACACTTTAACTGGAAACCTCAAGTCGATTACCAGGCTGAACCGATGATGATAAGATACTGCTGTGTGGGCTGTCACCTGGCTATGTAACCAACCATATGTCCCATGTGTGGGCTGGCAGCTGCTGTGTGACCCATCATGTGTCCCATGTGTGGGCTGGCAGTATGCTGTGACCCATCATGTGTCCCATGTGTGGGCTGGCAGCTGCTGTGTGACCCATCATGTGTCCCATGTGTGGGCTGGCAGTATGCTGTGACCCATCATGTGTCCCATGTGTGGGCTGGCAGTATGCTGTGTGACCCATCATGTGTCCCATGTGTGGGCTGGCAGTATGCTGTGTGACCCATCATGTGTCCCATGTGTGGGCTGGCAGTATGCTGTGTGACCCATCATGTGTCCCATGTGTGGGCTGGCAGCTGCTGTGTGACCCATCACGTGTCCCATGTGTGGCCTGGCAGTATGCTGTGTGACCCATCATGTGTCCCATGTGTGGGCTGGCAGTATGTTGTGTGACCCATCATGTGAGCCATGTGTGGGCTGGCAGCTGCTGTGTGACCCATCATGTGTCCCATGTGTGGCCTGGCAGTATGCTGTGTGACCCATCATGTGAGCCATGTGTGGGCTGGCAGTATGTTGTGTGACCCATCATGTGTGCCATGTGTGGTCTGGCAGTATGCTGTGTGACCCATCATGTGTGCCATGTGTGGCCTGGCAGTATGCTGTGTGACCCATCATGTGTCCCATGTGTGGGCTGGCAGTATGTTGTGTGACCCATCATGTGTCCCATGTGTGGGCTGGCAGTATGTTGTGTGACCCATCATGTGTCCCATGTGTGGCCTGGCAGTATGCTGTGTGACCCATCATGTGTCCCATGTGTGGCCTGGCAGCTGTTGTGTGACCCATCATGTGTCCCATGTGTGGGCTGGCAGTATGCTGTATGACCCATCATGTGTCCCATGTGTGGGCTGGCAGCTGCTGTGTGACCCATCATGTGTCCCATGTGTGGGCTGGCAGCTGCTGTGTGACCCATCATGTGTCCCATGTGTGGGCTGGCAGCTGCTGTGTGACCCATCATGTGTCCCATGTGTGGGCTGGCAGTATGCTGTATGACCCATCATGTGTCCCATGTGTGGGCTGGCAGTATGCTGTATGACCCATCATGTGTCCCATGTGTGGGCTGGCAGTATGCTGTATGACCCATCATGTGTGCCATGTGTGGGCTGGCAGTATGCTGTATGACCCATCATGTGTGCCATGTGTGGGCTGGCAGCTGCTGTGTGACCCATCATGTGTCCCATGTGTGGGCTGGCAGTATGCTGTATGACCCATCATGTGTCCCATGTGTGGGCTGGCAGTATGCTGTATGACCCATCATGTGTGCCATGTGTGGGCTGGCAGCTGCTGTGTGACCCATCATGTGTCCCATGTGTGGGCTGGCAGTATGCTGTATGACCCATCATGTGTCCCATGTGTGGGCTGGCAGTATGCTGTATGACCCATCACGTGTCCCATGTGTGGGCTGGCAGTATGCTGTATGACCCATCATGTGTCCCATGTGTGGGCTGGCAGTATGCTGTATGACCCATCATGTGTGCCATGTGTGGGCTGGCAGTATGCTGTATGACCCATCATGTGTCCCATATGTGGGCTGGCAGTATGCTGTGTGACCCATCATGTGTGCCATGTGTGGGCTGGCAGTATGTTGTGTGACCCATCATGTGTGCCATGTGTGGGCTGGCAGCTGCTGTGTGTCCCATCATGTGTCCCATGTGTGGGCTGGCAGCTGCTGTGTGACCCATCATGTGTCCCATGTGTGGGCTGGCAGTATGCTGTATGACCCATCATGTGTCCCATGTGTGGGCTGGCAGCTGCTGTGTGACCCATCATGTGTCCCATGTGTGGGCTGGCAGTATGCTGTGTGACCCATCATGTGTCCCATGTGTGGGCTGGCAGCTGCTGTGTGACCCATCATGTGTCCCATGTGTGGGCTGGCAGCTGCTGTGTGACCCATCATGTGTCCCATGTGTGGGCTGGCAGCTGCTGTGTGACCCATCATGTGTCCCATGTGTGGCCTGGCAGTATGTTGTGTGACCCATCATGTGTCCCATGTGTGGCCTGACAGTATGCTGTGTGACCCATCATGTGTCCCATGTGTGGCCTGGCAGTATGTTGTGTGACCCATCATGTGTCCCATGTGTGGCCTGGCAGTATGTTGTGTGACCCATCATGTGTCCCATGTGTGGGCTGGCAGCTGCTGTGTAACCCATCATGTGTGCCATGTGTGGGCTGGCAGCTGCTGTGTAACCCATCATGTGTCCCATGTGTGGCCTGGCAGTATGCTGTGTGACCCATCATGTGTCCCATGTGTGGCCTGGCAGTATGCTGTGTGACCCATCATGTGTCCCATGTGTGGGCTGGCAGTATGCTGTGTGACCCATCATGTGTCCCATGTGTGGGCTGGCAGCTGCTGTGTGACCCATCATGTGTCCCATGTGTGGGCTGGCAGCTGCTGTGTGACCCATCATGTGTCCCATGTGTGGGCTGGCAGCTGCTGTGTGACCCATCATGTGTCCCATGTGTGGGCTGGCAGCTGCTGTGTGACCCATCATGTGTCCCATGTGTGGGCTGGCAGCTGCTGTGTGACCCATCATGTGTCCCATGTGTGGGCTGGCAGCTGCTGTGTGACCCATCATGTGTCCCATGTGTGGGCTGGCAGCTGCTGTGTGACCCATCATGTGTCCCATGTGTGGCCTGGCAGTATGTTGTGTGACCCATCATGTGTCCCATGTGTGGGCTGGCAGTATGTTGTGTGACCCATCATGTGTCCCATGTGTGGGCTGGCAGCTGCTGTGTGACCCATCATGTGTGCCATGTGTGGGCTGGCAGTATGCTGTGACCCATCATGTGTCCCATGTGTGGGCTGGCAGTATGCTGTGACCCATCATGTGTCCCATGTGTGGGCTGGCAGTATGCTGTGACCCATCATGTGTCCCATGTGTGGGCTGGCAGTATGCTGTGTGACCCATCATGTGTCCCATGTGTGGGCTGGCAGTATGCTGTGACCCATCATGTGTCCCATGTGTGGGCTGGCAGTATGCTATGTGACCCATCATGTGTCCCATGTGTGGGCTGGCAGTATGCTGTGTGACCCATCATGTGTCCCATGTGTGGGCTGGCAGTATGCTGTGACCCATCATGTGTCCCATGTGTGGGCTGGCAGTATGCTATGTGACCCATCATGTGTCCCATGTGTGGGCTGGCAGTATGTTGTGTGACCCATCATGTGTCCCATGTGTGGGCTGGCAGTATGTTGTGTGACCCATCATGTGTCCCATGTGTGGGCTGGCAGTATGTTGTGTGACCCATCATGTGTCCCATGTGTGGCCTGGCAGTATGTTGTGTGACCCATCATGTGTCCCATGTGTGGGCTGGCAGTATGTTGTGTGACCCATCATGTGTCCCATGTGTGGGCTGGCAGTATGTTTGTGTGACCCATCATGTGTCCCATGTGTGGCCTGGCAGTATGTTGTGTGACCCATCATGTGTCCCATGTGTGGGCTGGCAGTATGCTGTATGACCCATCATGTGTCCCATTTGTGGGCTGGCAGCTGCTGTGTGACCCATCATGTGTGCCATGTGTGGGCTGGCAGCTGCTGTGTGACCCATCATGTGTCCCATGTGTGGGCTGGCAGCTGCTGTGTGACCCATCATGTGTCCCATGTGTGGCCTGGCAGCTGCTGTGTGACCCATCATGTGTCCCATGTGTGGCCTGGCAGTATGCTGTGTGACCCATCATGTGTCCCATGTGTGGGCTGGCAGCTGCTGTGTGACCCATCATGTGTCCCATGTGTGGGCTGGCAGTATGCTATGTGACCCATCATGTGTCCCGTGACTTGAAAAAGCCCACATGTCTCGTATTCGTTTCCTGACGCAGGTCTTAGTCATATGATGACTCGCCACTAGAGTTTTTGGTCATCTGACCGAGGCCTTCCACAGGCCTACCACTCCACCCCTTTAAGGCACCTTTTGTATTGTGTTTTAGAAATACAAATCCACATCTCTATATCAAAATTAATGTATATCTAAATTATTCAATAATTGATGGACGGAGGAAAGACCTTGTGAAATAATTTCTCGTACCTACTATGTATATAAAAAGCCGCTTCTTATGCTGAGAATTTCGGGAAAATTAGGTCAGTTTTATCCCAGGATGCGACCCACACCAGTCCACTAACACCCAGGTACCTATTTTACTGATGGGTGAACATAGACAACCGGTTTAAGGAAACACGCCCAATCTTTCTACCCCTTCGCCGGGAATCGAACCCGGACACTCACCGTGTGAAGCGAGAGCTTATGCCACCAGGTAAATTTATTATTAATGTCTTCTGGCAACAGTTGCGAGGTAAGAGGGTAACTTTTATAAATGTGTTCTCCTTCCGATCGACACCATGCCCAGCCCTTCTAGGGCAGGGTAGGTGCCTGAGCCAGAGCTTGCAGCTCACAAGACTGTCATTCCCAGTAACCCCCTTGGGGCGGGGATGGCAGACCAGAGAGGCCTAGCTTCTCCCTACGAGCCCCGTGAGGGCGGGGACTGTGGCTAGGCCTGCGGACAGTTGGTCCCAAAGATGAGGTACTTGTGCCTCCTCCCATGGAAGACTTAGGTCTCAGACACTCCCTAAAGAGGGAGCCAAGGCCGGGCCACCACTTGGAAAGGGCCCGAGCCGGGAGTATACCGGGGAATCTTTATTAATAGTAAATTCTCCTTCCAACAGTCATGAAGTAAAAGGGTAACTTTTATAAATGTCTTCTGACAATAGTCACGAGGTATGATAGGTAACAATTATAAATGTCTTCTGCCAACAGTCGCGAAGTTAGAGGGTAACTTTTATAAATGTGCCCTCCTGTCAACAGAGGTCGCGAGGTACGAGGGTAACTGAAATAAACTTGTTTTGCTTCCACTAGGGTCGCCGGTGGTGGTCGAGGAACTAGATACAGCTGATGTCCCAGCTGAACCTCTGCAGGATTCTTGGTCGCTTACAGAATCCCTCGACCAAGTCCCAAGTACATTACAGGACGATGAAGAGGAAGAAGACTTCGATGATGATGATGATGATGACGATGAGGAGGAGGACTCCAGCAGGGAAGTGAAAAAGTTCCGTGTAGACGATGAAAATGACAGCTATGAAGATGATGACGATGATGAAAATGATTTCAAATCATTACCAAGCACTGGGTAAGATTATTTATTTTCTCTGTTTCTCAACTTTTACGTAATACTTCTTGTTTTGAATTATCTCCTTAAGTTCAGTACTTGATCGACACCATGCCTAACCCTTCTAGGGCAGGGTAGGTGCCTGAGCCCGAGCTTGTAGCTCACAAGACTGTCATTCCCATTACCCCCCTTGGGGCGGGGATGGCAGACCAGAGAGGCCTAGCTTGTGACTAGGTCTGGGGACAGTTGGTCCCAAAGATGAGGAGGTACTTGTGCCTCCTTCCATGGGAGACTTAGGTCTCAGACACTCCCAAGACAGGGAGCCAAGTCCGGGCCACCACTTGGAAAAGGCCCGGGCCGGGAGAATACCGGCGAATCCTTAATAATAATAAATTCAGTGCTTCAGTTGTTCTGTGCCCCCTCCTCCCTTTAGTTTATCTAATTCACATTATGCTTCGTTTAAGGATTTCACTTGTTGTTAGGTAAGACACATATGCAACAGTTAGGTATCTTTATTATGAAACGTTTCGCCTACACAGTAGGCTTCTTCAGTCGAGTACAGAAAAGTTGATAGAAGCAGAAGATACTTGAAGACGATGTAATCAGTCCATCACCCTTAAAGTTTTGAGGTGGTCAGTCCCTCAGTCTGGAGAAGAGCATTGTTCCATAGTACTCGACTGAAGAAGCCTACTGTGTAGGCGAAACGTTTCATAATAAAGATACCTAACTGTTGCATATGTGTCTTACCTAACAACCTGTCGGTATTTTATACCGACAGATTGTTAGGTAAGACACATATGCAACAGTTAGGTATCTTTATTTCGAAACGTTTCGCCTACACAGTAGGCTTCTTCAGTCGAGTACAGAGAGGTTGATAGAAGCAGAAGATACTTGAAGACGATGTAATCAGTCCATCACCCTTAAAGTTTTGAGGTGGTCAGTCCCTCAGTCTGGAGAAGAGCATTGTTCCGTTGTCTGAAACAATATGAAGTTGAAGTGACAGAATGGGGCCTTTATATAGTGCCAGGAGGTGAGACGTAGGTTGCTTTGGGAGGGCAGGTCCTTCTTAAACCCAGCCGTTCTCACTAGTAGAGGTTGTCGAAGTGGTCTGTACCAAGATACCCTTGTGTTGCAGTGTCTGACAGAATGAACATTAAAATGGTATGAAATACCGACAGATTGTTAGGTAAGACACATATGCAACAGTTAGGTATCTTTATTTCGAAACGTTTCGCCTACACAGTAGGCTTCTTCAGTCGAGTACAGAGAGGTTGATAGAAGCAGAAGATACTTGAAGACGATGTAATCAGTCCATCACCCTTAAAGTTTTGAGGTGGTCAGTCCCTCAGTCTGGAGAAGAGCATTGTTCCGTTGTCTGAAACAATTGTTTCAGACAACGGAACAATGCTCTTCTCCAGACTGAGGGACTGACCACCTCAAAACTTTAAGGGTGATGGACTGATTACATCGTCTTCAAGTATCTTCTGCTTCTATCAACCTCTCTGTACTCGACTGAAGAAGCCTACTGTGTAGGCGAAACGTTTCGAAATAAAGATACCTAACTGTTGCATATGTGTCTTACCTTACAAGACCGCCTGTTAGAGCAAAGATTAATGAAGAAAATAGACGTATGCTTCACTTATGTTTCTTTATTATGACAACATTTAGCCAACCAGTGGTTTTATTAGTTCAGTACAGAGAAAACCGGTTGAAGATGTTTCTCTCTGTATTGGACTGGTAAAAACCATTGGTTGGTGAAATGTTGCACGTGTCTTATTCATCTACAAGACGGTTTTCTAAACCATTACTATAATATCACTAGAGCAGTTTTGGTTTAACATATATCCCCAACATCAGAAAGTATGTTCAGTATTTATACTATGGGCAGAATTCATACACAGGTTAGACCTAATGGTGAGCAGAGACTTGGAGAGTGAAAATGAGAACTCTCTTGGCTTGCAACAGCAATAATATGCTCAAACAGATAGATTTGATATGGTGTGAACTATCTAGAGACAGGAGAGGGTCAAGTAGTGTGAAGTGTCCTAGATGTCAAGTAGCCTGTCCTAAGTTGCTAACTTACTTCCCTCTGTAACGTCAGAAGGCCGCAGCACTTAATTAGCCACCCTTTATAAAGGTGGTCGATTCTTCCTGGAAAGCTATGACTTTATAAAAACACTTTGGATAAGACCCTCATGACGATGTTTCGGGCTACTGTCGTACGATTTCTCTCATAAGTGTGGCTTTCTTATTGACTCTTATATTGTATGACTACTCATACTAGGGTATGACAAACCATGCTTCGCACCTAGCTAAGATAACATGCACAATTGTGAGTTTGTGTGGAGTGTGTTGAATACAGGACATGCTTGAATGCAGCTGTACCAACTACAATTGCTAAGAACGCCCAACTCCATTATCAACAATCCCCCCTCCATTCCTAAACTACACTCCATACATAAAAAGTATATTATATTTCAAATATTGTTTATGTAGTCATATATTGGATGGTTGACGGGTTGATTGGTTAATGGGGTTTAAAGTCTTTCGATGTACGAAGGTCAATAAGGCTGCATGTTCCCTGTGTACCACCATTCTTGATTAATATTAAATAGCGACTAGAGTAACTCTCAGTGGATATAGACACTTAGGTACAGGTCAGGACATTTATTAGATGAAAAATCTCTTACTAGTGACTTCATCCTAATGTGCAGACATCTAAGACGGGAGAATATCTATGGTGGCAAGAGGCAGGTAACATAATGATGGCAGAGGCAGCATTAGCTAGACTGGGCAACAACAAGTTTGTCAAATTTGGAAATACTAAACTGCAGGACCTGTCTTGGATGGTATTAGTAACGGTAGTTAAGCACAAGTACGCCTGTAGCCAGGACGATCATTGTCATGCTCGTGTCCACTTCAGTAATGACCAAGGTCACGTTTTGTAGTTCTAAAAATAGGTTGGATAAATACACGAGTGGGTGTGAGTGTGAGTTAGACCTGACTAGCTTGTGCTACTAGGTCAGATGCAGTGCTCCTCCCTTAAGTGAATGTGACTGACCTGACTAGGTTAAGGCATTGGCTTAAGCAGATGGGAGAATTGGACCTGCCTCGCATGGGCCAGTAGGCCCATGCGAGGCAGGTCCAACTCTTATGATGTGGAGGGAAATCAATTTGGTCGTCTGTGACAATGATCTACGTAGAAGATAATGTATAGAGGCTGTCTATCAACGTAGAAGGAGATGTATAGAGGCTGTCTACTAATGTAGAAGGAAATGTATAGAGGCTGTCTACTAATGTAGAAGGAAATGTATAAAGGCTGTCTACAAACGTAGAAGGAAATGTATAAAGGCTGTCTACAAACGTAGAAGGAAATGTACAGAGGCTGTCTATTAACGTAGGAGATGTATAGAGGCTGTCTATCAGCGTAGGAAATGTATAGAGGCTGTCTACTAACGTAGAAGGAAATGTATAGGGGCTGTCTACTAACGTAGAAGGAAATGTATAGGGGCTGTCTACTAACGTAGAAGGAAATGTATAGGGGCTGTCTACTAACGTAGAAGGAAATGTATAGAGGCAAACTTAGTTATTGCTAACACCAGACCAAAGAAGTCTATCAGATTAAGTATATCAAGACTCTTGGCTAACAGGATGTTTCCTAATTTGACTCTTGTTGTAATGTGATAATACTCGCAGCACTTGCTACATATCACCTGTCTTGCGCCACTATATATACTCCCTTATTGTAAGCCTGTATTAGGATTTAAGACGCCACTAATTGCCCTATGATAGTAATTAGCGTAAACTATATATGTAAATACACTGAGAGAAATACTCTTCTCGCTGTATATATCTTGCTGCTCCACCATGATCATTTTCCGTTTTCTTAGACGATTATTTTTGTAAATGGTATAAACCTTGGTAATAAATACCGACAAGTTGGTTTAGAAAGACACGTAAGCAAACACTATAACATATTTATTAGAAAACGTTTCGGTCCTGGAACCTTGATCAAGGTTCCAGGACCGAAACGTTTTCTAATAAATATGTTATAGTGTTTGCTTACGTGTCTTTCTAAACCATTTTTGTAAATAAACTCGAATTGGATATATACAATGAGAGGTGTATTTCTCTCAGCGTATATACTCTGAAAGCTTACTTTAATCCCTATTTTAGGTATTAAAGTAGTATTTTTGGTCTGGTGAGAGTTGCAAGCGTCCTAAATGACCCTCGTGTATTAGACAGGTTTTAAACTCCATTAACCAACCAACCATTCCAACTTTTAACTCTAGAGAAGATATAGGTGAAATTTTAACATATTTCATTTTTTTTAAGTTAACAAACACGATTGATCAGCCTTTGTATATGTATTTTAGCAAGAAATATGTAATTGTTAAACCTGTAAATATTCAACAGATCTGGCGAATCTTTCAAGGAGACGAGACGTCGATTAATTGGTGAGTTATTTATGGGGATGGCTAAACCCGTGGGATCACAGCGCCTGTGGGAATTCTGGGGGGCGGGGGAAATCAGGTTTGATTCTTGGAAAGGGAGATCAAGTCCAGTTCCTTGGGTCAGGAACCTCTCACCGGCATCAAGGGACCTCCTTTCTTGTGTGAATGAGTTGGAGAGCCTTTGGTTTATTTGTTTATATGAAGTGGTAAACCCGTGTGGGTTGTTCAGTGCTAAGAGTGGCGGTCCTTCGTCCATTAAGAGGGGAAAAATGAAGCACCACTCCAGTTACCTCCATGGAATGGAACCCCTCAGTGGAGGTACCTTGATGGAACCCCTCAATGGAGGTACCTTGATGGAACCCCTCAATGGAGGTACCTTGATGGAACCCCTCAATGGAGGTACCTTGATGGAACCCCTCAATGGAGGTACCTTGATGGAACCCCTCAATGGAGGTACCTTGATGGCGGTGAGGAGCTCTTGATCACATTGATTTAGGTACAACTGCACATAAATACAATTCAACAGGTTTTGCTTAATTATATTTGTGTTATATTGTAACTTGCGTAAATTACCTACTTGTGCTTCCGTTCCTTAAGTCAAGTGTGTGACCCTTACGGGTTTAGCATTCCTAAATGAAAGTAATAATAATAATTTCTTTAACATAAGACAGTCTTGTGCTTCCTGTTGGTAACAGTATGATTTCTTCTGTTGAGCCAACAGGTGGTTGTACGTCGCCTCGTTCAGTTGATATACAGCTTAATTGAATTGAATTTTTAAACGGGTGGAATGGTAAAAAACCATACTATGGGTGGGGTTAGAACCCGCAATCAGAGAGAAAACTCCAGACCGTCGCGTTAGCCACTGGACGGTCTGGAGTTTTGTGACTGATCGCGGGTTCTAACCCCACCCGTGGTTTGGTTTGTTTGCAATCGTGTCCTTACGATTTCGTGAATCAGGTTATGTTAGGTAAGGTTCATCAGGAAACAGGACAAGCGTCTCCTGACGCGGGTCTGGGTCATAGGATGACCCGCCTTTGGAGCTTTTGGTCATCTGACCGAGGCCTTCCGCTGGCTTACCGGTCCACCCTTTGAAAAATTATGGTAATTTATAACCATTTAGTTCTGTACTGTATTACTGTATTCCGTGAGTCATGTAGCGGTAAACTCGGATGTTAGATGAACCTGTTACTTGCTAAGGCAGGTGTGACCATATAATTAGGTCTCCCTAGAGACCTCACAAGCCCATCTGAACTGCGTCACATTCCTCAGCTTGAGAATATAATTTAAGTAAAACTACTGATTCTTTACGTAGTATAATTCATTAATTTGTTCCGAATATAATCCTTTATGATTATGCATAAACAGGTCAACTATATTATTAAGTCCCGTGTCTGGAGACACCTGTCCGGTTCCCTAAAATATATTATAACAAGCCTCTACGATTATTCAGTATTTCCAATTTTAGGCTGCTTTGGGTTAGATTAATGTGGCCTAGTTTATACCAACAGCAGAATATACCCTAGTTTATACCAACAGCAGAATATACCCTAGTTTATACCAACAGAGAATATACCCTAGTTTATACCAACAGAGAATATACCCTAGTTTACACCAACAGAGAATATACCCTAGTTTATACCAACAGAGAATATACCCTAGTTTACACCAACAGAGAATATACCCTAGTTTATACCAACAGAGAATATACCCTAGTTTATACCAACAGAGAATATACCCTAGTTTATACCAACAGAGAATATACCCTAGTTTACACCAACAGAGAATATACCCTAGTTTATACCAACAGAGAATATACCCTAGTTTACACCAACAGAGAATATACCCTAGTTTATACCAACAGAGAATATACCCTAGTTTATACCAACAGAGAATATACCCTAGTTTATACCAACAGCAGAATATACCCTAGTTTATACCAACAGAGAATATACCCTAGTTTATACCAACAGCAGAATATACCCTAGTTTATACCAACAGAAAATATACCCTAGTTTATACCAACAGAGAATATACCCTAGTTTATACCAACAGAGAATATACCCTAGTTTATACCAACAGAGAATATACCCTAGTTTATACTCACAGAACAATATAAACGGGCAACTTCAGGCAGTAGAAGACACACTGTAGTTCCTTAGTGTTGGTGCCACCACTAGTATGAGCCGAAGATATTTTAAAAGTGTTTATTCATCAACAGAGGACTACATCAGCTTGGAGCACGACCTGCAGCTGATCCGCAGACTCTTGGGTCTCACTCCCAACACAGACACAATCGGACATTCCAGTTTTGGCTTGTGGGATGTGCCTGGCTCTGAGAAACGTACTGAAGATGAGGATCACCCAGCATTTGGCTTCGGTTTTAACCCACCAATATTTCCTAACTTCCCAGGCCTGCCGGTAGGTAATATGAGTAGTACACTAAATATTTAACACTAAATATTAACCGAGAGGTACTATAGTAAATGGGAAGTGTACATACTGTTGTAAAAAAAAGTGCTTCCTGTAAAGTATTACAAGAAGCACTTTTTTTGTTACATCAGTATGTACACTTCTCATTTATTATAGTACCTCTCGGTTAATATTTTTTCTCTGCCTTTATACAAGAATGTAACAGATCATCAACAGGACCCGTGACAGGAAACACTTATCCTGTTTCCTGACGAATGGAAAAAAACACTAAATGGTTTTATTCAGTTTATCATGGATACTATTAGAAAACGATCTTTTTTTTTTTTTAATTTGGATGTAAATTCTTCCACCTGTAGGCTAGTGGCTGGTTGACTAGTTAGGAATCATCTGCGTAAGACCCGTGTCAGGAGACACTTGTCTTGTTTCCTGACGAACAAAACACCACCACATTAATTCACTACCTCACTGTGCCTCCCCAAAACAAGAAACTCTTAAGGCCCCCTGTAGGTATCTTCTAAGGATACGCTACCATGTAGTGATCATGTTTTTTAAGGTGTGTTGCGTCTAACTGGGGTACAGCAAGGATGCATAATCTGAGACTTATTAAGATCCGTGTCAGGACACACTGTGTTACGTCCTAACTAATAAATATTACAGTCTTTTAATATTCCTCAGGACCATGTTTTAAGGCTGGGATCAGCGCCCCCCACCGCCCGGCCCACAACCAGGCGTTCAAATCCAAACCATTCCATGAGTTAACTAAATGTTTGATGTTGTCGGCAGATTGAACCCAGCTTAACCAAGGTGGATGACCTTCCAGACAACTATGACAACTCTACCCACGAGATACATGTTGTGAATGGCTCCCGCGTCGAGGTCAACACCACCACTAACAAGGAGTCTGGAGACGGCTTCCAGTCCTTCTTCCATGACGAGGTTGGTCACGCTAACCTGGATTATTCTTATTAGGTATCCCTTGAGGGATTAACTTTAAAAGGTCGCCTGATTTTTCTTTTCATTTCTTCACTCGTAACTCGAGACCGCCTCATCCAATCATATGGTAACCAGCACCAAATTCCACTCGTAACTCGAGACCGCCTCACCCAATCATATGGTAACCAGCACCAAATTCTTGGAACAATTGGAATGTCTCACGAAATCGTAATGACACGATTGCAAACGCGACGGTCTGGAGTTTTGAGACTCTCTGACCGCGGCTTCTAACCCCACCCGTAGTATGTACACGTCTATATGACATGCAAGAATGGTTGAGAGAACTTCCAAAATCCTCAGTGGCATTGCCTCAGATTAAAAAAAAAAAATTGCCAAGAAATTCGACGATGGTAGAGAGCGAAATTCAGATGAGTCGGAGCAGATTTGACCATTATATGAGCACATTAGTGTGATATTTTCATTCTAGTTAATATTTTTCAGTTTACCTCTTCTGAACGACTTCGGTATTTAATATTTGATGCATTTTAGAGGCAGGATAGAATCTATTAAGTTGAGTTTGCTAGCAGGTAAATTTGTTGATGCAGCAAAATAGCACAAAAAATCTTTGGGATCCATGCCATAAGTGAAGAATAACTCATCTAATCGGCTTCAAATTTTCAACACTAATGCCTACGAATAAAAAGCCGAAACAGCTTCGTAATTCGTCGAAAATATTAGTTTCATACATTATACTGTAGTCACATGTAATGAGGTGTACAGTAATAAAATACACTACAAACAGCTGAAAAAAGGTCGTGTAAAAATATGCCCCTACCTTAAAAGTTAGGTAAAGTTTATCAGGAAACAGGATAAGTATTTCCCGACTGGGATCTTAATCGTATGGCGCCGTGCCACTGGAGCTTCTGGTCATCTGACCGAGGCCTTCCACTTGCTTATTCGTCCACCCCGTTAAAATTATGATTATGATTAAAACCATTAGTAGTACGTCCTCCTACCTTAAATTTTTGGTAATACTTATTGATCCTAAAATGTGTTGTTGTGATCCATGTTGAGGATCATGTAGCTCTAGTTTGAACTACGAGGCGCGGGTCTTGTTTATACTTTTTCTTGAAGATTAAGACACTTATGCAACATATGGGAATCTTTATTGAGGAAACGTTTCGCCACACAGTGGCTTCATCAGTCCAATACAAAGCAGAAAGGTGTAAAGAGAGGAGGAGTTTGAGGTAATCAGTCCTTCAGCCTGGAGTCAATGTGTTCAGTCCATCAGTTTTGTAGAATGTACAGCATAGGGCCGTAGACGTGGCTTATATACTGTAGTCAGGTGAGGCGAAGCAGGAGGAGGCGGGGCCATAGTGGTACCATCTACTAGTCGAAGTAGGTCTTCGTCCGAAGGTTAGACAAGGTTGAAGAATTCTTTGTATCAAGATCCCATGATGATGCACATCCAGCATCACTAATATGCCTCTTGGTTGCCATGGTTATTATCCCAACACCAGATGTTATAATTAAAATATTAAAAATTGTGGTAAACAGAGAGAGACATTTTTCTGTACCACATTAAAAAAAATAAAAATAAATAAATATTATCTTCAACAACGTCAGATATTAAAAAAAATCTTTTTGGACCCTTCAGCGTCACTAGTGTGGCTTTAGTGCCGTGGTTAATATCCAGAGAAAGATGGGTTGATGGAAAGATACAAAATTGACTGAACACAAAGATTAATTTGTGGGTGGCATCCTGGGGGACAAGACTGAATCACCAACATGACTTTCTTGGGTTATTCTGGGTGGCTAACCCTCCGGGGTTAAAAATCCCAACAAAATCTTGTCTCCAGAACACGACCACTGGCAGTGTGGGTGGTTCTCTACACAAAAAGGTGAGAGTAAGGCCTTTTCCTAAAGACAAAGGCCTTGGGTGTAGGGGAAATATCCTGCTGTGTCTTCAGAAAAAAAATTGGGATGGAATCAAAGTTTATTTTATTCCAAATATATGATATGTTGAAGCGGCCATTGTCCTGTGCAGTTCTGATCAGGGTACACTCTTTCAGTCTTTCCTCATCGAAAACGTTCTATCCGGATATCTGCTGAGCCTGTGGTATGTAAGATTATTTAGGTATAGGCTGGCTGGGTCACCATCTGGAAAAGACCCGGGCCGGGACAGTACCGGCGAATCTAGAAATAGAAATAGGTTTAGGTACACATCAGTACAATTATTGTGCCTAGTAGTGTGTGTAAATTACCTGGGATTATCCAAAAAAGTCAGTGAATTATTTATTTTGTGTTGTATCATCTAATGTGAAGCTATTGAAGCTTAAGCTTGAGGGTCCCTAATCCCGGAGGGGCCCCAGAAGCTTGAGGGTCCCTAATCCCGGAAAGGCCCCAGAAGCTTGAGGGTCCCTAATCCCGGAGGGGCCCCAGAAGCTTGAGGGTCCCTAATCCCGGAGAGGCCCCAGAAGCTTGAGGGTCCCTAATCCCGGAGGGGCCCCAGAAGCTTGAGGGTCCCTAATCCCGGAGGGGCCCCAGAAGCTTGAGGGTCCCTAATCCCGGAGAGGCCCCAGAAGCGACTATAGTCCACAATGCTTAAAAATTTGGGGTTTACTGTATGAAAAGGGTTTTTTAAAAAAAAATAATAATAATGTAGTGTAATTCAATGCAAAATAATAGAATAGAATAAAAAGGTTAATAAAACATCACGTAGCCGCTGCTGGTTGCGAAAAGCCCCCATAACAGTTCAAGCTTCAGGGCTCCAAAAATGTTGGTCCCCCACTGATCTTATCTCCTCTGAATGGCCTGACTTTCTCAGTTTTTTTTTCTCACTCCAAGTCTGATAATGCTCTGGGATGGAATATAGTTATAATAACCACACTTTTTAACGGGTGCAGCGCTAAGCCTGCGGAAGGCCTCGGTCAGATGACCAAAAGCGGGTCATCATATGACTAAGACTCCCGTCAGCAAGCACTTGTCCTGTTTCCTGATAAACCTTACTTAACCTAACCTAACCTAACCTAACCTAACCTAACCTAACCTAACCTAACCTTACCTAACCTAACCTAACCTAACCTAACCTAACCTAACCTTACCTAACCTAACCTAACCTAACCTAACCTTATCTTATCTTACCTTACGTAACCTCACCTAACCTAACCTAGCCTAACCTAACCTAATCTAACCAAACCTTACCTAACCTAACCTAACCTAACCTAACCTAACCTAATCTAACCTAACCTAACCTAACCTAACCTAACCTAACCTAACCTTACCTAACCTAACCTAACCTAACCTAACCTAACCTTACCTAACCTAACCTAACCTTACCTAACCTAACCTAACCTAACCTAACCTAACCTTATCTTATCTTACCTTACGTAACCTCACCTAACCTAACCTAGCCTAACCTAACCTAATCTAACCTAACCTTACCTAACCTAACCTAACCTAACCTAACCTAAATTAACCACTAGGATGGACCAAAACATTGTCCAATCTATGAGTTTTGTTGTAAATCTTATTCTGTTTAACCCCTCAAGGAAGGTTCCTTGATGTTGGTGAGGGGCTCTTGATTTAGGGAATTAGATCTGTGCTCCAGTTCCCCGAATTAAGCCTTCCACATCCCCCCCCCCCAGGCGCTGTATAATCCTCCGGGTTTAGCGCTTCCCCTTGATTATAATAATAATAATTATTCTGTTTAAATTTGTATACTTTACATATGGTATGCAAACTGTCATAAATTTTTGTTTCATATATATTTCGAGTTAATTATTTATTATTATTATTATTATTTTTGTAATTGCGGCCATAATATTATGACAGCGAACACCTTGGACGACCAATTTTCGCGTATTATTTTGGCTGTGAACTCTTCCAGCGCACGTTGTTAGATCCTTAAAATGACGTTTCTATATCAGTTTTGAAGCCACTAGCATACCTAGGCATGCTAGTGGCTTTCTTTGTAATTAATATTTTGTAATATTTAAACCACACATTGTAAGCTTCGCAAGAAAATAAATATATATGATCATTTACATTGCAGGTAATAGCCATACGTCCCGTAGATGACAAGGACAACACTACGGGTACACAGGTAAGTTGTGGACCCTTTATGTACCTCTGTAATTTTTCGACTACCGCCCACAGGATGGGTATGGGGGTACATAACAAATATATTAAACAAACTAAACAAAATCCTTATGACGGCGTTACGGTCAAGCCACAACGGTGGTCCAGAATGAACTGAAACATCATTAGGAGTCTCATCTATGTATGTTCTAGGGAGTTGTTCTAGCCACGATATTTTGATATTTTCTTGTTTAACGAACACTTGAAGGAGAGAGAAAAACTACACTTAGAGGTATACCTGGAGAGGGTTACGGGGGTCAGCGCCCCCGCTGCCCGGTTTGTGACTAGGCCTCCCCTCAAGGAAGGTTCCTTGATATTGGTGAGGGGCTCTTGATTTAGGGAATTAGATCTGTGCTCCAGTTCCCCGAATTAAGCCTGAATGCCTTCCACATCCCCCCCCAGGCGCTGTATAATCCTCCGGGTTTAGCGCTTCCCCCTTGATTATAATAATAATAATGTGACTAGGCCTCGTGGTGGATCAGGGTCTGATCAACCAGGCCGTTACTGCTGGCTGCACACAAACCGACGTACGAACCACAGTCCGACTGATCAGGTACTGACTTTAGGTTCCTGTCCAGCACCTTCTTGAAAGCATATCTTGGTTTATATACAGTACAAAAGCTGCAACATATCCCCACCCTTCCTTCAGAGTGCAGGCACTTTACTTCCCACCTCCAGGACTCAAGTCCGGCTAACCTGTTTCCCTGACTCCCTTTATAAATGTTACTCTTTATATGTAATAATCCTATTTATACCTGGATTATATTTTATACATAATATATTATTGGAGACACAAGGTTTCAGGTACGTCTTCCTACTTCTACTTACACTTAGGTCACAATACACATGTATGTACAAGCATATATATACACACCCATCTGGGTTTTCTTCTGTTTTCTTACTAGTTCTTGTTCTTGTTTATTTCCTCTTATCTCCATGGGGAAGTGGAACAGAATTTTTCCTCCGTAAGCCATGTGTGTCATAAGAGGCGACTAAAATGCCGGGAGCAAGGGGCTACTAACCCCTTCTCATGTATACATTACTAAATTTAAATAGAGAAACTTTCGTTTTTCTTTTTAAGTTACCCTGCCTCGGTGGGATATGACCTGTAGTGGTCATACATAGCCTAACGCTTTAGCTCCATATGCTTAGTTAATTGAGTTTCAAGCCTATCAACTACACAAGGGTCATGAAGTCTGTATATAACCTGTTCACTACCAGTCAAAAATAATTTTATCCCTATAAGAGAGTTTAAGTAAACTTCCAGTATATGTACAAATAACCCGCACATAGGAGGAGCTGACGATGACGTTTCGGTCCGATTTGGACCTTTACGAGTCTGACCGAAACGTCATTGTACTCTTCTCTCTCTTATGTGCGAGATATTTGAGTATTGTTTCAACCATGGTATTGTATCTTTGTTCTCAGTGTATAAATACCTAGAAATACTCTCGGTTTATGTCACATAAACTCTCGTTTTACATCAGCGTATAAATGCTGAGAGTTTCCTTTAATCCCCGTTTTAGGGAATAAAATATTTTTGTCTATTGGTAAAAAGGTTACGGAAGGCCTTAATGATCCTCTTGTAGTTAATAGGCTTTAAACCCCCTGAACATTTTTTGCATCTGAAAATATCAGGTAATAGATTGTGGAATGACTAAGACCCTTGTTGGGACTATACTGGCGAATGTTAGAAAATGTCAGAAAGCAGTTTTTGTTGATTCGCTGGTGAGGGGCTCTTGATTTAGGGAATTGGATCTGTGCTCCAGTTCCCCGAATTAAGCCTGAATGCCTTCCACATATCCCCCCCCCCAGGCGCTGTATAATCCTCCGGGTTTAGCGCTTCCCCTTGATTATAATAATAATAATGTTGATTCGCTGGTACTCTCCCGGTCCGAGTCTTTTCCAGATGGTGACCCGACCTTGGCTCCCTGTCTTGGGAGTGTCTGAGACCTATGTCTGCCATGGGAGGAGGTACAAGTACCTTCTCATTTTCTAGGACCAACTGTACCCAGGCCTATTATTATTATAATCAAGGGGGAAGCGCTGAACCTGGAGGATTATACATCGCCGGGGGGGATGAGGAAGACATTCAGGCTTAATTCGGGGAACTGGAGCACAGATCCAATTCCCTAAATCAAGAACCCCTCACCAACATCAAGGAACCTTCCTTCAGGGGTCCCCAGGCCTAGCCCCATTCCCCGCCCTTATGGGGCTCGTAGGGAGAAGCCTCTGGTCTGCCACCTACTCCGCCCTAGGGGGGCTCGTGGGAATGGCAGTCTTGTGAGCTGCAGGTGGTAGCAAGCTCTAGCTCTGGCACCTTCCCCGCCCGAGGAGGGCTCGTGGGAGTTGAGTCATAGAAAGCAGTTTGTATTCTAAGTCTTGTTCTCTCTCAATATATTTTGTTTTTATCAATTATGCTAGTATGGGCATACATGTCAGTGTAACTTTTGTCTGACTCTTTTGGGGTTATTGTAGGTAATTTACACATGTTACTATGTATTATAATTGTATTTATGTGGACCTATTCCTAAGTAAATTTGCTTAATGTCAACAGATAGAGGAAATGATTGGCGAGGAGGAGCCGGTGAAAGATGAACAGTTACCGCCGCTTCCCGAGGTGGAGAATGAAGCTGATAAATCAGGGAAGTCCTCGTCCACTCTTCCTGAGGTGGACCCCAAGGTAGAGGACGATACTGTAACAACTACTGAGGTCAGTAGCATCTCCCCTTAGCTCCTGCTCCACCTGCAGACCTTCCCTTAGCTGCTCCTCCACCCGCAGCCCACCACCTATTCCTCCTGCTACTGCTACTGTTGCTGCTACTGTTGCTGCTACTGTTGCTGCTACTGTTGCTGCTACTGCTGCTGTTACGTAGCCCCGGCGCATCAGTTCTCTACGTAACCAAAAACCTTGCCAATCAACACTTCCACGATTGTCATAGCTGTTACTTATTACCATCCCATTTATTACAAATGTTTTTTTTCTTTACTCCACGTAAACCCATCATCAAAAAAAAAAAAAGAAATATGTAATCTACCATTATTTATAAATACATTCCAGCATAATGTCGGCAGTAAAAGCTTCATGTCTACAATTTGGTTGCAATAAAAAAAAAAAAAAAAAAAAAAACATCCTCACTAATATATGATATAGTGATAATATGGCTATAGTCATAACCATAGTTTGTGAAGTGGTAAGCCAGTGGAAGGTCTCTATCAAATGACCAAAAGCTCCAGCTGTGGGTCATCATATGACTAAGACCCGCGTCAAGAAACACTTAATCGTGTTAACTGACGAACCTTAAACTTCACTAAGAAATGGTTATAATTATTACCATATTTTAAACGGGTGGACCGGTAAGCCAGTGGAAGGCCTCGGTCAGATGACCAAAAGCTCCAGCATGCAATATAACCGCAAACAGACAATGCGGAACAAGCCACATCGGGGATGGCTTGCTTTAAACTGTATATGTATTAAGGGATAATTCTTGAAGCCTATCGACCCTCAGTCGATAGGCTTCAAACCCCATTGACTAATTCTGTTGGCTGTGAATTATATCATGCAGATATGATGTATAATAAAGAATAAGAGAAGAAACACTTATTTCCCCTCGCTGAAGAATTCTAAGACAAACCCTAAACCCGCACGGGTCATACATGGGTCAAGTTCGATCCAAGTGAAGGATAATTTAAATTCTTTGGATCAAGAGCCCTTCACTGACAACACGGCATCCTTGAAGAGATAAGCTTATTGATCTTAATATAGACGTAGTCTCGATCCAAGGAGATGAGGATGCTGATGCTATTCTCTCTTTCCTGGACTCACACCTGAGTAACGTCTCAAGTAAATATACTTTGTTGGTTGACCACATTCACATGCATACAATAACACATACAGGGGTTTACACATTCAGGGGTTAACACATACAGTGATTAACAGTACAGGGGTTAACACATTCAGGGGTTAACACATTCAGGGATTAACACATTCAGGGGTTAACAAATTCAGGGGTTAACACATTCCGGGGTTAACACATTCAGGGGTTAACACATTCAGGGGTTAACACATACAGTGGTTAACACATTCAGGGGTTAACACATTCAGGGGTTAACACATACAATGGTTAACACATTCAGGGGTTAACACATACAGTGGTTAACACATTCAGGGGTTAACACATTCAGGGGTTAACACATTCAGGGGTTAACACATTCAGGGGTTAACAAATTCAGGGGTTAACACATTCCGGGGTTAACACATTCAGGGGTTAACACATTCAGGGGTTAACACATACAGTGGTTAACACATTCAGGGGTTAACACATTCAGGGGTTAACACATACAATGGTTAACACATTCAGGGGTTAGCACATACAGTGGTTAACACATTCAGGGGTTAACACATTCAGGGGTTAACACATTCAGGGGTTAACACATTCAGGGGTTAACACATTCAGGGGTTAACACATTCAGGGGTTAACACATTCAGTGGTTAACACATACAGTGGTTAACACATTCAGGGGTTAACACATTCAGGGGTTAACACATACAATGGTTAACACATTCAGGGGTTAGCACATACAGTGGTTAACACATTCAGGGGTTAACACATTCAGGGGTTAACAAATTCAGGGGTTAACACTCTCAGGGGTTAACACATTCAGGGGTTAACACATTCAGGGGTTAAAGCATTCAGGGGTTAACACATTCAGGGGTTAACACATACAGTGGTTAACACATTCAGGGGTTAACACATTCAGGGGTTAACACATTCAGGGGTTAACACATTCAGGGGTTAACACATTCAGGGGTTAACAAATTCAAGGGTTAACACATACAGTGGTTAACACATTCAGGGGTTAACACATACAGTGGCTAATACATTCAGGAGTTAACACATACAGTGGTTAACAGTACAGGGGTTAACACATTCAGGGGTTAACACATTCAGAGGTTAACACATTCAGGGGTTAACACATTCAGTGGTTAACACATTCAGGGGTTAACACATTCAGGGGTTAACACATACAATGGCTAACACATTCATGGGTTAACACATGCAGGGGTTAACACTTACAGTGGTTAACACATTCAGGGGTTAACACATGCAGTGGTTAACACATGCAGGGGTTAACACATGCAGTGGTTAACACATGCAGGGGTTAACACATACAGGGGTTAACACATGCAGTGGTTAACACATACAGGGGTTAACACATACAGTGGTTAACACATGCAGTGGTTAACACATACAGGGGTTAACACATTCAGGGGTTAACACATGCAATGGTTAACACATGCAGTGGTTAACACATGCAGTGGTTAACCCATACAGGGGTTAACACATACAGGGGTTAACACATACAGGGGTTAACACATACAGTGGTTAACACATGCAGTGGTTAACACATACAGGGGTTAACACATTCAGGGGTTAACACATGCAAGGGTTAAGACATACAGGGGTTAACAGATACAGTGGTTAACACATACAGTGCTTAACACATATAGGGGTTAACACATGCAGTGGTTAAGGCATACAGGGGTTAACACATACAGGGGTTAACACATACAGGGGTTAACACATACAGGGGTTAACACATACAGGGGTTAACACATTCAGGGGTTAACACATTCAAGGGTTACATTCAGGGGTTAGCACATACTGGGGTTAACACATGCAGTGGTTAACACATACAGGGGTTAACACATACTGGGGTTAACACATACAGGTTTTAACACATGCAGTGGTTAACACATACAAGGGTTAACACACAGGGGTTAAAACATACAGGGGTTAACACGTACAGGGGTTAACATACAGGGGTAACAATAACATACAGGTGTTACAGTAAGACATACAAGGTTTACAGTAACACATACAGGTGCTACAGTAACACATACAGGTGTTACAGTAACACATACAGGTGTTACAATAACGTACAGGTGTTACAGTAACACATACAAGGGTTACAGTAACACATACAGGTGTTACAGTATCACATACAGGTGTTACAGTAACACATACAAGTGTTATAGTAACACATACAAGTGTTACAGTAACATACAGGGGTAACAATAACAAATACAGGTGTTACAGTAACATACAGGGGTAACAATAACAAATACAGGTGTTACAGTAACATACAGGGGTAACAATAACAAATACAGGTGTTACAGTAACATACAGAGGTAACAATAACAAATACAGGTGTTACAGTAACATACAGGAGTAACAATAACAAATACAGGTGTTACAGTAACATACAGGGGTAACAATAACAAATACAGGTGTTACAGAAACATACAGGAGTAACAATAACAAATACAGGTGTTACAGTAACATACAGGGGTAACAATAACAAATACAGGTGTTACAGTAACATACAGGAGTAACAATAACAAATACAGGTGTTACAGTAACATACAGGAGTAACAATAACAAATACAGGTGTTACAGTAACATACAGGGGTAACAATAACAAATACAGGTGTTACAGAAACATACAGGAGTAACAATAACAAATACAGGTGTTACAGTAACATACAGGAGTAACAATAACAAATACAGGTGTTACAGTAACATACAGGAGTAACAATAACAAATACAGGTGTTACAGTAACATACAGGGGTAACAATAACAAATACAGGTGTTACAGTAACATACAGGAGTAACAATAACAAATACAGGTGTTACAGTAACATACAGGGGTAACAATAACAAATACAGGTGTTACAGAAACATACAGGGGTAACAATAACAAATACAGGTGTTACAGTAACAAATATAGAGTTTACAGTAACAAAGCTTACAGAAAACAAAATAATGTTTTCAAAATAAAGAAATAATATTTGGACTCCCGGACTCATAATAACACGATTGCTGGTGCTGGAGCCTTCAAGAATTAATGTTGACCAAATTCTGAGTTTTTCTTGGTACTTAAAGTATGCTAATGCTTATTATTGTTATTGTTCTGTTAGGTTATGTTAGGTCAGGTTCGTCAGGAAGCAGGACAAATGTTTCCTGACGCGGGTCTTAGTCAGATGATGACCCGCCTTTGGTCATCTGACCGAGGCCTTCCGCTGGCTTACCAGTCCACCCCTTTAAAAATTATGGTCATTTATAACCAGTCTGTCTATATACCTTAATAATTGTTCTGTTGTTTATAAGCACGAAAGAAAACTTTCAACATTTATTCATTTTAAAAAATAATTTTTAATAATTTTTTTTAGGATTATACGAATATATATAAAATTTGACTTTGTTTATTTACCATTTAAGTTGTAACATATATATGATTTTACAATTTAGAAAAGCAATTTTCTCTTATCATAATATTTGACTTTATTTTTCAAACAAATATTAAATTTGCAATAATTTATGAATAAAATTTTTATAAATAGAAAACGATAAAGGATAGATGAGTAACTAATATATTGTGAGGCAGGATGCCAGCACCGAGAGAACGTCCAGGATATCACGAGATGCCAAACTGCTTTCACTGGATGCTGCTTCCAATACCCTTTACCTCCCTGGGGACAGGACATCTCCACTCATCTCCCGTCTCCCCCGTGATGTGGAAGACGATGCTGAGAAAGTGCAGGTGAATGAAGGCAAGAATCTACCACCTGACCTGAGCAAAGACACTCGTGTCAACTATGCTGACAAGGGCCATCAAGGAATGGTCAGAGTGGATCCAGACTCTGAGATCTTCAATCTGACTCTGATTTTAGAGGATGAGGCTAAAACTAATGTTGATGACAAGTAAATTAACATCCGCAGGCAGTGAATATGCATAGCTTACGCAGGTTTAAATATGCTTTTAACACTGGAGATTTTGATAAAGCGAGGATTATTCCATAAGCCAGCCGAAGGTCTCGGTCAGGTGACCGAAAGCTCCAGCTGCGGGTCATCATATGACTAAAACCCTAACAATTACACTGTTTCCTGACAAACCAAACTTAACCTAGCAACAAGAATATCAATTTTTTAAGGTGTTGACCCAGTCAGATGACCAAAAGCTCCCGTGACGGATCACAGACTAAAAACCGCGTCAGGAAACGCTTGCCCTGTTTCCTGACAGACTTAGTGATCTACCTTAATGTGAAGAAATCATGCCCATTTCTC